ATTTTATTGATGTACATGTTTAGAGATAGAAAATTTCCCCTAGCTGCATCCCATAAATTTTGTCATCTTGTCTCATTGTTGTCATTTTCTTTAATGAAATTATTGTTTCTATGACTTGTTCTTTGACCCACTCATTCTTTAGGATTAGATTATTTAGTTTCCAATAAAATTTTCATTTCTATCTTTCTCTGGCCCTTTATTGAATATAATTTTTATTGCATTATGGTCTGGAAAAGATGCATTTAATATTTCTGCTTTTCTGCATGTGTTTGTGAGGTTTTTATGCTTTAACACACAGTCAATTTTTGTGAAGGTGCCATGTAAAACTGAGGAATTTTCTATTCCCATTCAATTTTCTCCAGAGATCTATCATATCCAACTTTCCTAAAATTCTATTCACCTCCTTTGCTTCTTTCTTATTTAAAATTTTATGGTTAGAGTTATCTAATTCTGAGAGGGAAGGTTGAGGTCCCCCACTAATATAGCATAACTATCTATTTCTTCCTGTAACTAATTTAACTTTTTCTTTAAGAATTTGTATGCTATGCCATTTGGTGCATATGTTTAGTATTGTTATTACTTCATTGTCCTTGGCATCTTTTAGCAAAATGTAGTTTACTTTCTTATCTCCTTTAGGTCTATTTTTGCTGTTGCTTTCAGATCATGATTGCTACCCCTGCCTTTTCTTTTGTAAAACACCTCAGCTAAAATATAATCTGCTCCACCCTCTTATTTTTATTCTGTGTGTGTCCTTCTGTTTCAAGTGTGTTTCTTGTAAACAACATATTTTTGGATTCTGGTTTCTAATCTAATCTTTTGTGTGGATGAGTCTACCCCATTTACATTCATAGTTATGATTGCTAAGTCTATTTCCTTTCATCTCCTCTCTCTCTCTGTGTATGTGTGTGTCTCTCTCCTGTCTCTTTTCAAGTCTATTTCACTTCTGACTACCACCTCCCTTAATCTACCCTCCCTTCTATCAGCTTCACCCTTTTCTTATTCCATTCTCCTCTTATTTCCCTGTTAGATAATATAGATTTATATGCCCAACTGAGTGTGTATGTAATGCCCTCTTTGAACTAATTCCAAAGAACGTAAGGTTCAAGTTTTGTCTGCCATCCTCCACTGTAAAAGGTCTTCAATGCATGCCTCTTTTATATAATTTTCCCTTTTCTTCCTCTCCCTTCTGCCTTCTCCCAGTTCATCCCTCTGTCTCACCCCTTTTTTTTTCTAAGATCATCTCGTCATAGTCAACTACACCCCTGACTTCTATGTATACTCCTCCTAACTGCCCTAATAATGGGAAAGTTATTAGGAGTTAGAAATATCATCTTTCCATGCAGGAATGTAAACCATTTAAACCATATTGAGTCCCTTATGATTTCTCTTTCATGTTTATCTTCATATGATTCTTTTGAGCCTTTTATATGGAAGTCAAATTTTGTATTCATCTGTTGTCTTCTTATCAGGAATGCTTGAAATACCTCTATTTCATTAAATATCCATTTCCCCATCACCCAAAGGATTATACTGGATTTTGCTCGGTAGGTGATTTTTAGTAGTAATCCTAGCTCCTTTGCTTTCCAAAAAAATCATATTCCAGGCCCTTCGCTCCTTGCTCTCAGCTCCCTCAGCTCTCCCCATCTGGGCCCCTCTTTGCGTACTTGTAGTTGTAACAGCAGCTCCTACTTCTGTAACCTCTTACGGCTCACCGAGCGTTCTCGTAACATTCCTAAGAGGTTGGTGGGACGTGAGCTATGCTCCCCTCTTACAGCTAAGGCTCAGAGAGGGGCAGGGACTTTCCTGGTGTAAATCAGCACGTAGGGGAGCCTAGAAGTGCAGCAGGGAGAAGTCCTACAGGATGCTGCTTTAACGCTGCCTACTTCTTGTCAATGGTCTTTTTTTTTTTTGGTGTTTGTTAAATTCATTATTTTAAAAAATGCTTTTTTTAAAAGAGCACGGAGAAACAGCACTGGGAGGGACCTCAGAGCAGTGGTTCTCCAAGTGTGATCTGGAGATCACTAAGCCACTTTCAAGGAGTCTGCAAGGTCAAACCAAATTCAAAATCCTAAAATATTTTAATTTCTAATACGTTATCAACATATAACCTACAGAAATAAAAACTTTTGTGGGGTGGGGAATCTTCAATGTTGTTGGGTTTTGTTGTTTTGTTTGTGTTTGTGTGACGCAACAAGGGCTAAGTGAGTCACATAGGGCCACACAGCCAGTAAGGGTCAAGTGTGAGGCCACATTTGAACTCAGGTCCTCCTGGGCCACTGCTCTATCCACTGCACCGTCTAGCTGCCCCCTCAATAATGTTTGAAGAGTGTAAAGGGGTTTGAGAATCATTGCCTTACTGCATGCTGGGATGCTTGGAGCAGAAGACAGCTCATACGTATATAGTGCTTTAGGATTTTTAAAGCCAATCACGTTGTCTCATTTGCTTCTCACAACCCTCTGAAGGTGACAGTGTCCCTATTTTAGAGATGAGGAAATGGAGTTTGAGAGGACCACACAGCTACTAAGTGTCTGAGGCAGGATTTGAACCCAGTTTCTCCTGGTATTACATCCAGCCTTTTATGTGCATTGGAAGGGATCGTAGAACATGGATTGCTGAATCGGAGTGGAGCTTTGGAAAGTAAGCTGTGAGGGCTGGAAGGAGCCTCAGAGGATATCAGGTCCCAACCCGCCACCACATCCCTGAACAATGACGATCTCTGGGGATAGAAAACTCACCACCTCGCAGATGAGTCCATTCCACTCCTCATGGTGCTGCACTGCTGTTTGCCTCTCTGTGACGCCCACACCTGCCCTCATATTAGGACCACGTGGCGTATGACTGCTTAGCTGTCTCCCAGATGGCTGGGCTCTGGCTAAGACGATCACAACCCTGAGAAACCACTCATTGTTTTCCGATTCTATCACCTCATGCTGTCTCGGCTTTGGAGACACGGATGTGGCCATGCTTGCTCCTAGTAAACATATCCTCAGAAACAAACCAATGCATCTGTAGTCCCGTTTGTGTGCAGGCTTCTTGTGGACGTCCGCTTTTGTTGGCCAAAGCACAGCACCAAACTGTCTGCCTTGGCTACCGACAAATGTGAAGCAGGAAGAACTTCCCTTTACGTGAATGAATCCTGCCCCTGCCTCCTCTGCTTCTGGCTCAGACTCGAGGAGGCTCCTGAGAGAACAGCAGCAGTCTTTAGCAGCCCCTCTACTCCAGCCGATGCCAGGAGAGACCTATGCCAATGCCTAGTGAGGGGCAGGCCAAGCAAGCCCCTGCCACCTTCTGCAGATCTTTCCCACTTCCCCGCTCTCTTGGGCTTTCCTCCTGGCCAAGGTTACAACTCCTAACTCCTTTGTGAGGATCTGGTCTCTATCTATATTGGTGCTGGTTATCCCCCGTGAGAACCTAAGCCCCTTGAAACAATTTTGTGCTTGTATTCCTGGTGCCTAGAACAGCGTTGTTCAGTCCTGTCCAACTTTTTTTTTTTGAGGCATTTGGGGTTAAGTGACTTGCCCAGGGTCACACAGCTAGTGAGTGTCAAGTGTTTGGTCTGAGACCGGATTTGAACTCAGGTCCTCCTGACTTCAGGGCTGGTGCTCTATCCACTGCGCCACCTAGCTGCCCCCACGTGTCCAACTCTTCATGTCCAACCACGGGGTTTTCTTGACAAAGATACTGGAACGGTTCGCCATTTCCTTCTCCAGCTCATTTTACAGACGAGGAAACTGAGGCAAAGAGGGTGAAGTGACTCGCCCAGGATCACACAGTTAGTGTCCAAGACCAGATCTGAACCTGGATCTTCTGGACTCCAGGCCCAGCACTCTACGCACTGCACTGCCTAGCTGCCCCATAGAACACAAAGAACACAGTTTATTGATTTTTTTTAATTTTTAGGCAATTGGGGTTAAGTGACTTGCCCAGGGTCACACAGCTAGTGAGTGTCAATCGTTTGGTCTGAGGCCAGACTTGAACTCCGGTCCTCTTGACTCCAGGGCCGGTGCTCTATCCACTGCACCACCTAGCTGCCCCCTAAACAGTTTATTAGAAAGAAAACTGGAAAAAAAATTTTTTCCAGAAACTTTCTCTGATAAAGGCCTCATTTCTCAAACACAGAAAGAACTGAGTCAAATTTATAAAAATAAAAGCTATTCCCCAATTAATAAATGATCAAAGGAGAGATCAAAGCTATCAATAGACACATGGAGAAATGCTTTAAATCACTAACAATATGGGAAATGCACATTAAAACCACTTGTGAGCTACCACCTCACACCCACCGGATGGGCGAATATGACAAAAAAAGGACAATCGTGGGAAAACTGGAACACTAATGCACTGCTGGTGGGGTTGTGAACTGACCCAACCACTCTGGGGAACAATTTGGAACCGTGCCCAAAAGGCTACAAAACTGTGCATACGCTTTGACTCAGCACCAGCACTTCTAGGGCTGTACCCCAAAGTACTCCAAAGAGAGCAAAGAAGAAGGATGTGGACCTCTGTGCACAAAAATATTTCCCGCAGCTCTTTTTGTGGCAGGTAAAAGTGGAAATTGAGGGGATGCCCATCCATCGTGAAATGGCTGAGCAAGTTGTGGGATGCAAATGTAACAGAATACTGTTGTGCTACAAGAAATGACGAGCAGGATGGTTTCAGAAGAACCCAGACAGACTACCATGAACTGACACAAAGTGAAGTGAACAGAACACTGTACACAGTAACAACAGTGTGTGATGATCGATCACGAATGACTCAGCTACTACGACTGATACAATTCCAAAGGACTCAACAAAAAATGCTATCCACCCCCAGAGAGAGAACTGACGGACTGAGAACGCAGACTGGAACAAACTTTTTTCACTTTTACATTTTGCAACATGATTAATATGGAAATGTTCCGCAGGATTTCAGTAAGCAGGAAGTATACTGCTTATCTTCTCAGTGGGTAGGGGAGGGGCTGGAGGGAGAGAATTCATAATTTAAAAAACTATTAAAATGATTGTCAAAAATAAATTTATTTTTTAAAAAAAGCAAGAAAATGTAAATCATCCCTAAAGGAAAGTGATTTTGCAGTAAAGGGCCCTACGAGTTGCTGCTGGGACTCCACACAAGGTTAAGAAAAGCAAAAAGCAAAACCCCAATGAGACTGGGAAAACAGGACCCTAAGGGAAGTGATGGAAATGCTGATTCTCCCCTTTACCAGAGCTCAGCTTGGGCTCCTCCCCTACTTCACTGCAGGACCTTGGACAGGTCCTTTCCTCTCTGGGCCTTAAACATTCCTATCGGGATGCAGCCTTCAAGGGTTCCTTATCATTTCCCACACAGGCCTTCCTGACCAGCATTCAACAACTCAAAACCACAGTTCTGAAGCCTCGGCACAACGTTTACATTTAGTAAGTCAAACTGAATAACCCCCGCCAATATTTCCCCATTCACACATGGGGTACACAGGTTATCCCAATACCAATGGAGAGGGCACACATTCAGAGACCTCACGTGCAAGGCAAATGTGTCGGAAAGCACACCAGGTACACATGGGAACATTCCTAGAGGACACACATGGTCAGGTGAACTCTCACCTGGTACCTCAGCACCATCGGTGCCCTCTAGAGATGTCTCAAGAAGTTATCTGCCAAGCATCTAGTCTGCCAGGCAGTGTCTCTCCTCCCCTCCGGGCTGCTGTCTGCTGGGGTGCAGTGACTGAAATGCCTCTCCCTGCCAAGGGAGGCTCCAGCTCTTTGGAGGGCACAGCAGGGAGTGATGAGCTATCTGCCCAGATAAATACCCAGCCAATAAAAGTTGACTGGGGAAGTCTCTTTCTCCTGGTGTTGCCTACAGGTTCCTCACAAAAGCTGTCTTACATGAGCTCTGGAAATTCTTTTAAGTTGCCAAATCTACCTGCACCCTCAATATACGTTCTGGGGACTCAGAAGGCACTCAACAAAATCCTAAAGGAGTGGCAAGGAGGTGGGTGTGACACGGAGCCCTCAACTCCACAGTGGCCCCTGACTAATGTGCGCACGACCTTCGAGGCAAGACCACAAGGGCTCAGCGGCACCTGTGGGCTACATCTGGGGTTCGTGCTCTGGCCTGTATCAGGGCTATCACCAACCTCAGAAATACTTATTAAGCAGGGGATTGGTGGCGTGGGCTGTATGAATGGTGGAGATATCAGGGGAAAAAAAGTGGTCCCTCCCCAGCATTAGAGCACATAAAAGATCCATCCAGAGCAGATGCAAAGTGGTCTTCAAGGGGAAGCCAAGGCAGCTGGGAGGACCTTAAAGGGCTTCCCGCCCAAGGTGGAGAGGGACGGCATGGAATGTCTCCTCCGATGCCCCCAGACCCCGGGACTCCCAGTCTTCTACCAGCTGGGAATCTACCTGAGCAGACTCCGCTCATCCAGCCACCCAAGAGCAAACACGTGCTAAAACTGAGGCGGCCTGCCTACATCCAGCCTGCTGCTCGCCCGCTGCCTGACAAAGCCTCCCTGGGTAATTACCCCAAACACCACTGTCTTTTCTACACGCTCACTGTGATTTTTAATGACCTTATTAGAATTTGGCAGACTCTCGGCTGAGCATGACCCTCAGGAGACAAGGCTTCTGCGTGAAGGACCGGCAGTTCCCTGGGGGAACAAAACCTCTCTGCAGAGGTTCTCAGGAACCACAAGCAAGATAAGACAGACCCAAGGATGGACTGAGACTTGGAGCATGAAGAGGCCAGGCCAAAGGACTTTTAATGGAGCATCAGAGGTCAGGCAGAGCAGGTGTCCAGAAGGGCTGCTACAACCTGTGGCCAGAAGAAACCATGAAATGGTTAGAGACAAGACTTGGCACCAAAGGCTGGGCTGGGACAAAGGGGCTTGGGACACTCACTGGAACTCCCGGAAGGACCGCTTCTCCACCAGCTTGACCTTGTATTTCCGCTTGAACCTGGACATGGACGGAAAGGGGAGCTCAGAGATGAGGCCGCCTTCCTCAGACCCTCCCCCTCCCTATGTGGCCCATCCGTCTGGACCCTCACCTGGCTCTTTCCCTAGGCTCTATCATGTTCCTTCTCTGGAAGCTCTTAAATCGGTCCCGAAGAATGCTACCCTCAGGCTAGGAAAGAGATAAGGAGGTGTCAGGTGGACCCGAGAGCCCTGTGCTCTCCAGCCCAGCCTCCTCATGCCCTCAGCCCCCGGGGCGGGCCAAACCCGGCCTGCCTGGGGGACCCAGAGTGTCGCCCACTGCCCCAGACCACTATCAGGGTAGGGCCTCAGGCGTGCAAGGATGAGTCTCATCACTGGGCATAGGATCCTCCAGCACCGCCCCTGCCTGCCCCAGGCCCGATACCTTTAGCTTCCTCAAGGAATCGGCCAGTTCAGTGCTGAGCTGCACATCAATGTCCGGAGCCTGATATCTGTCAGGAAGGAAGGGAAGACATATAAGCTGCACGTCTACCTGGGTCTCCTTGTTCACTGCCCCCTCCCTCCACCCATCTCTGAAATCCTGTGGCCCCTACACAACTGCCTTAGGATGCTAAGGAAAAGAGGGAAACTTTCACTTGGCCACGGAGACAAGCCGTGTCGCCCTTTTCTTCCTCCCCAGCTCCTCACCTTGCCAGCCAGAAAAGGAGCCTGGGCCAGAGGGCGGGACTCACCATGGGAAGATGGGAAAGGAGGGGGCACCACAGGGCAGGTGGGGCTGAAGGCCGGAGGGAACGGCCAGGGCTGGTGGCGGCAGAGACAGGAACTCCACCCACTCACTCCTTCCCTCCCCACTAGAACCAGGGGACGTGGAAGGAAACATGGGAGAGCAATTACAAAAGGCTAGGGCTACCCTGTGGGGGCCTTCAATGCCAGGCTGTGGAGGGTGGAAGAAAAGGATTCTGAATGGATGAAATACAGGGGCAGACCAGCCAGCACCGTGGGTGGACATAACCCCCCACCCCCTTCTCCACCCGCCAGTTACTCACTTAAGACGACCCAGCCGTCGGGGTTTCGCGTCCTCCGCCAGCCGCTTCAACCTCCGTCTCTCTCGCCGCCGGGCCAGCTCCGCCAGCCGCTGGGCCACCTGCATCCTGATGCCACGGAGCTGGAACACCTCCTGGCGCCTCGTCCTTGCCGCCCGCTCTGCCGCCTGCTGGGCTCTCTATGGGGAAACCCCGACCCAGGCCCGTAGGTCAGAAGGTGGAGCTTTTGTCTGACCAGCCTAAGCCTACACGAGCTCCCCAGGAACCTGAGCCATGAAGCCACCCAAGGGGCAGTTGTCTGAGAAGCAGCAGAGATGTGCCCGCGCCAGGGCGCTCCTCACCAGCTTCTGGGCCTCCTTCTCCCGCCTCCTCTGCTGCTCTGTCTTCTTCTCTGGGCCTGGGGGTCTGTGTGCCTGGAAACCTGCATCCTCCTCTCCTTCCGGCTCTGCAGGAGCTTCCCCGTCCGACTCCTCCAGGAGCCCTTCACACAGCTCCTTGAACGCAGACTCCTGAGAGGAAGATGGGGGCTGCTGAGGCCCCCCTCTGGCACACTGCCCCCCAAGTGCGGGCCCTCATCACTTGTGGCCTGGACACCCCCCATTTTCCCGTGGAGCCCTGCCTTTCAGGGTCCTCGACGCACTACTCCCCTCTGCCTCCATGCCTCTAGGATAAAGTACCAGCTTCTCTGTTCAGAATTTAAAGGCTTCCTCACACGGCTCCAGCCCAATCCCCAGAGCTGTGGTGTCTCTACAGGTGATATCCACTGCATTCCAACCAAGCAACAGACTGCTTGTCCTCATACACTCCACAGAACATCCCCCCCGGACAGCTTCTGGCAGGCCTTGCATGCCTGCCCTCCTCCCAGAATTCCCAGCTTCCTTCACACACCAGCTCCTACAGCAAGGCTTTCCTGGTCCCCTTAATCTTGTTTTCAGTTCAGTTATTTTTTAAGGTTCCAGATTTGAGATTTCTCTGGGATAGGGAATGCCCATTGAGTAACCCCATGCTACCGATATGTATATCTACATCTATATCTCAATCGATCTCTATCTACACACATGCAGACACCAGACCCACATGTTCCAGTCTCACAAAACCACTTGGGGGAGGCTCTGACCCCAGGCTGGCTCTCCGGCCACTCTGATCCAGTGATGCTCTCCTCAGCCTCTTGACCGTCCCAAGTTACGCTCTATGTACTTATCAATTAGCAAAGTGAAGGCCCCTCTAGTTTAAAGTCAGTTCTTTGATGGAAGGGATGACGCTTAAGGGTTTTTTCTGTGTGTCGAATAGTTAACAGCGTCCTAGCACAGGATTCAGGTGGAGATGAGGAGACAGGACAGGGTTGCTGGGCCACAAGGGTCCCTCAACCCAGGCACAACTGCCACTTGGCTGCCTAGGGTCCCAGCAGGTACCTTGGTGGGGGCCTCATCCACAGTGGGGAAGGCCAGCTGACGACTGAGTTTCTCTTCCACCTTCTGCCTCTGCAGCTCCACTTCATGGGCTTCCAGGAGCAGGGCCTGGCAAAGACAAACAGGAACACCAGGTGAGGAGGTAGGGCCGGCTCCCAGCATGTCCTAGGACCAGTCTAAGGGGTCCAGGGCAAGAAGGGAGATGGTACCTGGTGGGCCTGGAACGAGGGGTTGTAAGAGCCTCCAGAAGATATCACTTCCACAGCCGGGGCCTGAGAGGGCTTGGTCTGTAGGCGCTGAGGTCGCTACAGAAAGGGAAAGGAGAGAAATGGGGAGAAGGGATGAGAGGGCGTGCCACCCAATCCTTTCTGCAGGCCAGCTGGCCAGAACACAGTGGAAGAAGCCATGACTGACTTGTGTGTGGTCCTGTCAAAGTCTCTTCCCTTTCCTAAGCTTGCAATGAGGTTCATGGGATTGGAGGTGGCAGAAACCATCTAGTCTGAGGCCTCTATTTTACAGATGAGAAAACCAAGGCTCAGAGGGGAAGTGAGCTATTCAAGGGCGCAGGTACCGATCTCAGCACTCTGTGGCAACCAAAGGCATCTTCAACTAGAACATGGGAACTGGATGGGCACAAGGCCCCTTAGCTTTCACAGTCTAGGGTCCAAAGGCACCCAAGTCTTTCTCCCTGCCTGGCTGCTCACGGCTGCTGCTTCCTCACTCCCCAACCAGAGGTCATCTCCAGTCGTCCTAATGTGTATCTTGCCAATGAACCCAGATGGCTCCGGAGGAGAAAATGAGGCTGGTGACCCTGCACAGCCCTGCCTCCCTCAAACCCCATTCACTTGTAAGTCACAGCAGCACCTGGTCAATGTCATGGTCCTCCTCGAGAATGAAGGACAAACCACAATAACAACCCCACCCCCCACAGTTCCTTCCCCCACCCTCCCAGCCCTTTACCACACAGACACTCCTCACCTTTACTCCCTTCCTCTTCGTCTGCTCCAAGAAGAAGGTGTCCTGGCCAACCAAGGGGTGGTCCAGAGGATCTAGAAAGGACGAGGTGGGGGCAGAGGACAGAACACCAGTCATCAGGGAACAATGGGGAGGAAGATGAAGGGCAGAGAAGGAAGGGGGCCTCCCTCCAAATTCATCGCCCCGAATGACTCCAACTCAGCTACCAGAATCTGCAGGGAACCAAAGCTCTAATCGTAGCAGCAGAGGCAGAGGTGCCAGCCCCCCCCCCCCCCCGGCAGTGGAATTAAAACCCAGGTCTTCTGTATCTCGACCTGCAGCTTTTGTCAAGTCCACGGACCCAGCCAGCCATCCTCTCACTTACTGTCCTTGGCCCAGAGGTCATAGAATGGTCGGCCAGCCGTTTCCTCTGGGTCAGAAGGCTTGGTCTTTGGCTCTGGGGGCTGACGTAGTCGGGCCTGGGCCTTCCGCACCTCCCGGGGCAGCTTTCCCTGCTGGGCCAAGTGCTCCCACAAGCGCTGCTTGCGTTTCAGCTTCTTCCCATTGGGGATCTGGTGGGCAAGGATGCTGCCAAGAAGGGGGCAATGAGAGGGGAGATGAGGGAAGAGGACCCAGGTATAAGGAAAACTGTAATCCCGTTTTCCTCATCTCCTACGGCCCGGACCACGGCCTCAGTTCCCCAACTTCTGATGACTCCTCCCCTTGAGTCTCTCACTCTCCCAGGTCCTCTGGCTGTCTACTCTCTTCTGAGCCACTACTCTTGTCCATCCTGCTGGGGAGCCCACCACGACTCTCCATGGCCCACACCACCCCATCTATACTTTTCAGCTTGACCATCGAGACCCCCCAGGCCAGTGCCAGCCTTCTTTTCCCTAGGATCCTGCACATGCCGCCTCTATTCTCAAAGAAAGTCCACTTTCGCCTTCGATACTTCCCTTAAACTGACCCACCCCTTCCCTGTCCTGCACCCACTCCCTTGTCCTCTCCCAGTTCCTGCCCCTTCTGCAAGGCCTAGTGCAGCCCTGCTCCCTTGGCCAGGAAGCCATTCGTGGTAGGAAATAAAAGCATACAAATAAAAGAGAGTAACAAAATGTAGTTTAAAAAGAAAAAAGGCAGTCCTGTGCCTGTGTATCAGGGTAGTAAGGAAACAGTTCTTCTGATTAGGGAAAATCAGGGAGCTTCCTTTTTTTAGAATTCCTAAAAAGGAAATCCCAGGGAGAATGGAGCCGAGTGAAGGGGGAGAGAAGAACACTCAGTTACTTCTTTGGGGAAGGTACTTTGGAACGTGATTCTAAAACCCGATCAATCCAAAAAGGCTTCTTCAGGAGCTGATTTATCTTCAAGTCTGGAGGAAAAGGAAGAGTCAAACAGATGGTCTCCAAGAGCACTTTGCACCCTAGCTTCCTACATCACAACTCCCCTTCCCTTCCCCCATGGAGAAGCTACAACAATCTTAACTCATCAGGCCAGAGAAGGGGAGCTCCATATCTCACTCCTCCTGCCCCAGCCCAACCCCTCTACCCTCCAGGATCTGAGAGTGAGCTCCCTTTTCCTAGGCCTGGGTTTTCCCCAACCTTGGTGGGGAAGAAGGCCCCTTCATCTCCCAAGCCCCATACAAGGATAGGACCGCTTTTTTCCTTTTCAAACTATGCTTCATTACTATCTTTTACTTATGTACCTTCATTTCCTACTATGCCCCCCCCAGCCACCCCTTATGACAAAGAAGAAAAAGTTCAGCAAATCTAATCAACATATCAACCAAGTTAGACATTTAATGCAACACTCCATTGCACTAAAAATTTAACATTAAACATCAGTAAAAATAACTATATTTAACCATCACTTACATTTAAATTAACTGGTTTCAATACTTAAAAGTATTGATAAAATGTTTTTTTCCAAAGGTCTCTTCTAGATCTACAATTCCTTCCTTTAAGTCTGCTGCAGGCTTCTCTAGGGCTCTGCCTTCTTTAATCCACAAAACATTAGCCCAAAAGGGGTCTGGAGCACCCATCCAATCCAATCCCATAATTCTCTCCTGATTCACGCTCCTCTCCACTCTGGCTAAAATGTAAGCTTCCTGCAGGCAGCGACTGTCCCTAGAACCCAGGGTCTGGTACAAATTAAGCACTTCACAGGGGGGCTTGCTGAATGATCACCGAAGGGGAATCAGCAGCGCCTGTGAATAGGGACACCACACTGGGGCTTCCCAGCACCATTCCAGCACACCACCTCTCCAGGGAAGCAGGTTTTCTATTTGATGCTTAGCTTTTCACAGAAGACGTCCCTCCACTCAATCCCTAACCAGTTCATGATAGCAGCAGCGCCGACTAAACCTTGGGAAGAACCTGTCTTTGGCCTCTTTTTGCATCCCACCAGAGCAGGGCAGTGCCTGGCCAGTATGAAGTGCTTAATCGATGTTTACCTATTATCTACTCAGGCCTGTGCCCTTCTTCTCTAGCCCTTCAAGCTACTGCCATGCTGGCGGTCCCTGCCCCCCAGACCGCCCACTCCTTGCTTCCCGCCCCGCCCCCACGCTCCCCCTCTTTGCTCCCCGCCCCGCCCCCCATGCTCACCCTTCTCTTGGTTCCCCGTGTCCACAAAGAAGAGGTGTTCATCCGGAGTGTCTGAGATCAGGCCCCTGGGGCAAAGAACGCGCAGGTGAAGGCGGGGTGCTGGATTTCACACACCTTTCCCGGGGTCCAGGCCCCGCCAGGGTGACCCGCTCCCTGAGCCCGGGGTCCCCACGGCCCCTCAGGGACCTGCCCCTCGGAGGCACCGGAAGTGCCCCCTGCCTCCGGACCACGCGCCGGAAGTACAAGGGAAGGGCCGGCTTGGTGACTCCCGGGTCCAGTGAGGCCGACCGGAAGCGTGCCCAGGACCAGCGGAAGTGCCGGTCAGACGCCCGCCTGCGGAGCGCCCCCGACCCTGGAGTCCCTTCGCAGCCCTGCCCTGTCGGGAGCCCCGCCCTCCCCGCGGGCCTACCCGGCCGCGCGCTCCTGCAGCCGCACGTCTTCCAGAAACGTGTCCACCTCCTGCCCCAGCGGCTCCTCCGCGAGACGCCGCCAGCCCCGCTTCTTGTTCCGTGGCCCGCGTCGTCGCCGCCTCGCGGCCCCGGGGTCCGCCGAACCGGACCGGAACCCGAGGAACCCCGAATCGCCGGCATCGCGCTTACTGGCTCCACCACGCGCCATCTTGCAAAAGGAAAGAGATTGTACTTGCGACACCGGATATCCGGCAAGCGCCTCTTCCGACCCCTGTACTTCCGGCTGCCGCCGCCATGTTGGTAAAGGGAGGGCGATTTTTACAATGTATTAACTTATTAACGTAAATTACCCTTTGTAATTCAAATTTACAGTGTTGATTAACGCAGTGACTGTACTGTACTGCACATCTACAAATGTAAATTCGTATATGCATTTTTATATTCGTATTTGTTAGGTATTTGTAGAGTGTTTTGTACTGTCGGAGTCGGGAAGATGAGTTCAAATCTGCCCTCGGACACTTCCTAGCTGTGTGACCCTGGGCAAGTCACTTCACCCTGTTTGCCTCAGTTTCCTCATCTATAAAATGGGCTGGAGAAGGAAAGACAAACCATTCTGGTGTCTCTGCCAAGAAAACCCCAAATGGGGTCATGGAGAGGAACTACAGAAATAGAAATTCGTATTTGCATTTGTATTTTCATATTTGTGACATATTTGTATGGTGTGCTATACTATATAAATTTGTATTTACATCTGCCTATTTGTATTAGTTGTACATGTTATACAAATTCGTATTTATGTATTTGTATAGATTGCTGTATTATGCAAACATAAATTTGGGAATATGAATTTTCCGTGGCAGGAAAGGGAAAAAGCGTTTATGTAGCACATACGATGTACCAGGCACGATATTAAACATTTTAGTTATTATTTTGTTTAATCCTCACAACAGCTCCGGGGGGTAGATACTATTATTTCACCCATTTTACAGATGAGGAAACTGAGGCAGACAAGTTAAGTGGCTTGCCCAGGGTCATAGCTAATAATTGTTTTGAAACCAGATTTGGACTCAGGTCCTGATGATTCCGGGTCCAGGAGTCTGTCTGCTGGTGGCCTCAGTAGTTAACGAAAGTGCCCTGTTTATGCCCCTTTTTGATTTTGGGGGGTTTCTCCTGTACGTGTTTGAAAAACAACCCATTGGTGATCTTTTTGTCCTTTTATTCTCAGGCCTCTACCTACCCATTCACTAACACCTTAATTTTAGGTGTTAAACCTTGTCTTAAATGAGTACAGCCAGCAGCATCTATATTGGGCTTTAAGGTTTGCAAAGTCCTTTATAAAGAATGCCTCATTTTAGTCTCACAGCAACCCTGGAGGTAGATGCTGTAATTATGCCCATTTTGCATTTGAGGGAACTGAGGCACACAGAGGTTAAATGACTCGCCCAGGATCACAAAGCTAATAAGTATTTGATGAGGGATTTCAACTCAGATCTTCCTGATTTCAGGCTCAGGGTTCTCTCCACTGCGCTGCCCAAGCTGCCAAGCAAAACAAACCCACGTATTCCCTTTGTTTGGTTGGTTTTTTTGCTTTTTGGTGAGGCAGTGGGGGGTTAAGTGACTTGCCCAGTGTCACACAGCTAGTAAGTGTTGGATTTGAACTCAGGTCCTCTTGACTCCAAGGCTGGAGCTCCATCTACTGTGCCACCTAGCTGCTCCCCCCCATACACACACATTCCCTTTGAAAGGCTATGCCTTATTCTCAGGTGAAGTTAACAGGCATTTATTAAGTGCCTGCTGTGCATAAGCCACTGTGCTGTGTTCCCGGGGTACAGAAAGGCAAACACACAAATCCCAAGCCAACTCCCTGCTCTGGAGGAGCTCGTGATATGACGGAGGAGACAACATACGTACAAACAAGCCATAGATGGCAGAAGCGGGATTAGCAGGGGGCAGGCCCCAGACTTGGGGGGACCTGAAGAGGCTTCCTGTGGGTATGGAATGTTCACTGGCCATTGAAGGAAGCTGGGATGGGGAGGGGAAGAGCGAGAGCCCCTGGACGTAGGGGGACAGCCACTGAAAGTGTCTAGAGCATCTTGTTCCAGGAAGGGCACAGAGGCCAGCACCATTGACTGAAGAATCCTGGAGGGGGTGGGGCAGGGTGGTGACGTGGTCACTTTGGGGGCTGAGTGAAGGATGGCCTGCAGTGGGCAGACCACCCCCCCCCAGCAGCTCTGGCAACAGTCCAGGCCTGAGCTGATGAGGGTCTGCACCAGGGTGGGGGCAATGCCAGAGGAGAGAAGGGCGTGTACTGGGGAGATGCTGCATCGACAGATTAGATGTGGGGGGTGAGAGGCGGTGAGGAACTTGGTTGTGAGTCTGGGGGTCTGGGGGGACGGTGTTGCCCCCAACAGTCATAAGGAATTTTGAAAGATGGGAGCATTTGTTGGGAAAGATGATGAGTTCCATTTTTGACATGCTGAGTTGGAAGTGTCTTTGGGATGTCCAGTTTGAGATATCTCATAGGCAGTTGGAGATGGGAGTTTGGAGGTTAGAGAGAGCTGAGGGCTATACTGATAGATCTGAGACTCTTCAGAATAGGGATCATTTAGGGGGCAGCTAGGTGGCACAGTGGATAGAGCACTGGCCCTGGAGTCAGGAGGACCTGAGTTCAAATGTGGCCTCAGACACATAACACTCACTAGCTGTGTGACCCTGGGCAAGCCACTTAACCCCAACTGCCTCACAAAAAAAAAAAAGAACAGGGATCATTGAATCCACAGGAGCCCCTGAGACCCCCAAGCGAAGTAGTATAGCAGGAAAGGAGAAGGGGCCCAGAACAGCCCTGGGGACACCCCCAGTCACATAAGGAGCTGGAGCAGGAGCGGGCAGACATGGACGAAGAGAACCAGTGGAAAGCCCGGAGAGGACAAGGGTGTCAGGGCCTTCTGGTCTGTCCTCTCCGGCCCATGGTGCTCTCTCAGGGAGGTGATTCTGTGAGCAGAGAAGAGAACAGGGCAGCCTCTGCCTGGATGGCAATGTCCTCTAGCACGTGGCCTGCAAGGGAATGCTAGGCACACCGTAGGGCAAGGCCTCTCCAGGGTGTAGTGTATGGAGCCCCCAGGCCTGGAGGCAGGAAGAGCAGAGTTCAAATCCTGCCTCAGACATGGACCAGCTGTGTGACCCTGGCAAGTCACTTCCCTTTCATCTGCTTCCGTAACTGTAAAAGACAGCACCCACACCCCAGGGTTGTTAGGAGGCTCAGATATTTTTGGTCATGTTTGTAAAGCACTTTGCAAACTTGAAAGGGCTACATGAATACTAGCTAAGATTATTATCCAATGCTCTGTCATCTTGACTCTGTATTCCAGGAGTGGGGTGGTTACTAGCCCTCCCACTGAAGCACAGCTCCAGTCGTCGGGAGACTTCTCCTGACTTCCAAGCCCTCAAGTGGATCCCCATTGCTGTGGGAAGTCCTGCCAACAGTGCAGATTGCAGCCCTAATACACCTGCCCAGCCTGCCAGCCCCTGGCCTCTCCTCATTTCCTGACGCTCCAGGATACCCACCATGTGACCAGCTTATCTGCTCTTCCTATCATATTTTTCTTGAATTAATAAATGCATTAATTGTTATTTTTTTTTTTGCATTTGGGGTTAAGTGACTTGCCTAGGGTCACACAGCTAGTTAGCATCAAGTATTTGGGCTGAAGCCAGATTTGAACTCAGGTCCTCCTGCCTTCAGGGCCAGTGCTTTATCCACTGCACCACCTAGCTGCCCCTCAATAGACATTTATTTAGCACCTACTGTGTACCTAGGATTGTGCTAAGCCTGGGAGATACACATAGAAAATTCTTGTCTTGGAAAAGCTTTTATAAAGAGCTAGACTTGCAGTCAGAAAGCCCAGAGTTCAAATGTGGCCTCAGCCACTTACTGGCTGTGTGACCCTGGACAAGTCCCTTAACCTCTGTCTTCCTTAGTCCCCTTATCCGTAAAATGGGGGCAGTAATAGCACCTAACTCTCATGGGTGTCATGAGGATTGGAGGAGATATTGGTAAAGCACTTTTTGAAACTTGAGTGCTATGTAAATGTTAGCTATGATCATTATCACTGTTATTATAGAGATAGTGGGAGACCACACACATTGAGGGACGGTGCAAGGGAGGGGAAATTTGATAGTGAGTGGGGTCATAGGGGAGTAGAATTGACATCCCCTTTCCAGGGGCAGTGGGAGTGTTGATTTGATTGTGGTTCCAGGACTGAAGAGTAGGGAGAGAGGAAGGGTATGGGGTCAGGGTGGGATGGGGGCTGGTAAGAAGATGGCGGATGATCCAATAAGGCATGGCGGGAGACAGTCGGGGCCATGGGGCACCAGGAGATGGAGAAGATAGAAAGGGCTGTCTTCCAGGGATTGGTCAAGAAGATAGTCAGCCTACATGTGGCGGTGGTGTTCAGTTGCTTCACTCACGTCTAACTCCTCATGACTCCATTTGGGTTTTTCTTGGCAAAGATACTGGAGAGGTTTGCCCTTTCCTTCTCCAGCTCATTTGACAGATGAGGAAACTGAGGCAAACAGGGTGAAGTGATTTGCCCAGGGTCACACAGCTAGGAAGTGTCTGAGGCTGGACTTGAACCCACAAAGATGAGTCTTCCTAACTCTAGGCCCAGCGCTCTATGCACCACGGCCCCACCTAACAGCCTTAGATGCGGAAGATGACATCTTTTAGTCTAGTTCTCAGGTTGCTACCAGGTGGGATAGATAAAGTGGAGGGCCTCAGGTTTAGGAAGACCCAAGTTAAAATCCAACCTCAGATGCTTACTAGCTGTGTGACCCTGGGCAAGTCACTTTCATTACTTTGCGTTTCAGTTTCCTCCCTGTAAAATGGGGCACAATTAGAGCATTTCCCTCCCAGGGCTTTGTTTGATATCTAATTAGTTCACGTTTGTGAAGAGCTTTGCAAACCTGAAAGTGCTATAGAAGTGCTAGGTCTTATTTTCATCCAATAGGAAATTATTGGTTGTACGTCACAGCCCGTTCCCTCCCACCCCCGTACTCCTCTCCTTTGCCCCTCTCCCATGTGATAGTTATATTTAGTTCTTGCTTATATTTCCTGTTCCCCTGCCAAACAGTAACACCAGTAGAATCCGGGCATTAAACAATGAGCCTTTGTTTCTGTGGAAAGTGTGGGATGATTACTGGAGCTATGCAATTTCTCAAAAGTAATTCAACCCAGC